GGTGGGGGGCACCGTCGTCTGGCCTTTCCAGAGGCCCGCTTGCCGACCGGCGCGCTTCAGGCGGGAGACCGCATCCCAAAGCATGCCGGGCCCAATCTCGCCCGCCAAGCGAAGGGCCTCGGCCTCCCCGGTGGAGGAGTCCAGCGCTCGCTGCATATCGGCGACGGTGTGTTCGGCAGCTGCGAGGCGGGCGGCTAAGTCGCTTTCGCCCGCGGCCGCCCCACCGGTATGCGCCCTCGCGTCCAGCTCCTTTTCCCGCGCCTCGAGGTCAGCAGCCCGCTGCTCCAGTGCGGCTCTCTCGGCGCGGACGCATTCAAGATTGCGGCGCGCCTGCTCCTCCTGCGCCGCCTCGCGGAGGGACAGGCTGTCCGCCAGCCGTTTGGTCGTGGCCTCAGCCTCCTCGAGAGCTCGCTCCCGCTCAGCGAGTGTGTCCTCGCGGAGGCGGAGCGCGCACTCCTCCTCGGCGCAGGCGGCCTCGTGCGCCGCCAGCGTCGCCTCCCGGAGAGCAGCGGCGGCCTCGCGGTCCGTCAAGCCTTTCTCCACGGCGCCGGCGTGTTCTTCCAGCGCCATAGCACGGGCCTCAAGGGACTCCTCGCGCCGCCGGGACGCCGCCTCAGTCTCTGTTACCCGCCGCTCTCGGGCAGCGGCGGAGTCAAGGACTCCCTGGGCGGCGTCGAGCTTTTCTTTCAGCTCCGCCTCCCGGCTGGCGTTTTGAAGGCGGAGGGCGTCTTGCGCCTCAATCATCGTGGTGGTAGCGATGAGGGCGGCCGCTCGCTCCTCCTCCACCTCACGAGCGATCTCCGTCAGCGCCGCCTTCCGGGCTTCAAGCTCCGAGACGTGACGGCGGTGAGCTTTACGGCCCACCTCCACCATGGCGTCCACCGAGCGCCGCCCCTCCTCAACGCGTGCCCATGCGGCCTCGAGCTCCGCTCGTTCCGCGCGCAGGGCCTCCACTTGGGCGCTGAACCCATCTAGCACCGCGGTGTTTGCGGCGGCCAAGGCCTGCAGAATGGGCTCGGCGCTCAGCGGGGCGACGGAAGATGAGGAGAAGAGCCGCCTTGGAGAGAAGGCGATGCGGCTCGGCCCCCCGGAGGACGTGCTGGGCTCGGGGATGTCCCCCGGACCCGTTTGATCCTGGGCGTCGCCCGGGGAGGTGGGCCCAGGCGATGTGCCCGCGGCCTCGTCGCGAGCCTCCCCGGAGGCTGTCGCCTGAGGGTTGCCCGAGGGAGTGGGCCCAGTTGACGCGCCAGCAGCAGCTGTTGCCTCAGCCTGGCGAGCCCGGGCGGCCTCCTCCTTAGCGGCTTCCTCAGCCCGGGCGGCCTCCTCCCGAGCAGCTTCCTCCGCTTGGCGAATCCGGGCGGCCTCCCGGGCGGCCTCTTCAGCTTCCCGAAGGCGGTCTGCGGCTTCACGCCGGTCAGATTCTCGCCTCCGCTCCTCTGCGGCCGCTGGATCTTCGGCCTCGGACTGGCCGGACTTGGGGTGGCGGGAGGAATGCGACGGGACATCGCTGAAGCAGAAGAAAAAACCAGAAGACGAACAAAATGAGAAAGAAAAAACTTCCTTTTGGGAGAAAGATGGTTGCAATGAGAGTGAGACGAACCTGCGAGGGGGTCGGTTGAATGACCACCTTGGAGGGGAAATCAGGTTTCCCCGGCATGGTTCCGTCTCCCCCGTCTTGCGGAGCCGTTTCTTCTTGCGCTCTCCCTCGGGCTGCGACGTCGGCGCGGCTCCCTCCGGGCGCCGACTGCTGGCACGCGCCGCCCCGCCCCCTCGGGGAGGAGATGGGGGAGGTGTTCCTCCCAGCTTCCTCTTCCCCTGGGCGTCGGCAGGGCGGCTGCTCCCCGAGCCCCCGAAGCGGGGCCCAGAAGCACGACCCCCTCCTGGGGCAGATTGTTCCCCCCGGCGGCGCTCGCCCGCGCCGTCGTGGCCCTTAGGGGCTCTCTCCTCTGAGGCCCCGACCCCCATCATAATGGTTAGAATGGAGGCGCGGTCGGGATCGCTGCAGAGGGGGAGGATCTCCTGAGGAATGCGAGACGCCTCCACGGAGCTAAGATTCAGCACCCTTTGGACCACGATCTTGAAGTCCTCGGGAGCCCAATCCCATCTGGCTCCCTGGTGGGTCCGCATGTAGTCTTCAGGTCCAGTGTACTCCCAGGCGCTCCGGGCGCGCCGTTGGAGCGGCGCAATCCGGCGACGGAGGTAATCGCCGTACACCATGGCCCCGGTGAGCCCCTGGGATCGCAGGCCCGCCAGGCGATCGAGGACGGCGTCGTAGTCCTCCCCCAGATCTACCGGCGCCCGCCAGCTGGAGACCTGCGCCGGGGGCTGGCTTGGAAGTCGGAGGCGCGTTTCATTGGCGAGGGGGGTGTAGAACCAGTCGCTCTTCTAGTCGTCCCACTTCTTGCGGAGGACGCAGGGGATGTAGCGGTTCAACACCGGCCCCCGCGGCTGGAAGTAGCAGCCGCCAACCACCGACGGCGGTGACACCGACTGCACGGTGAAGAACCACCGGAACAGCTGAAGAGAGGGGCGCACCCCAATGAACATCTCGCACAGGTGCGCGAAGATGGCCAATGTCATCACCGCATTAGGGGTGAGGTGCGCCATCTGGAGATCGTAGAACTCCAGGACATCCATGAAGAAAGAAGAAAATGGCGGGACCAGCCCAGCCATTGCGAAGGGGAGGAAGAAGATGGACCGCCCCGGGTAGTCTGGTGCCGGGCGCCCCTCGCCCAGCATCACTATCTCCCGACCGGTGGCGGACTCCGGCATGAAGCGGCGCGGTAGTCCGGCGTGCCTCTCGCTCACGATGCGGGAAGGCGGTAGTACACTGCCGTCGAGCAGAGCAGAGCCCCGTGCCATGGCGGTGGAGGAAGAGATGATTGAGAACGAGCGCGTGTGGCGAAAGTAGGGCGTAGCAGAGAAAGAGTTAGAGCTCAGGCGGCGAAGGCAAGAGGAACAATGGCGAAAGGAAGGAAGCAAATCCTTTTCTCGATGCTTTTATACCCTTGCCATCGCTGGCCCTGGCTCCTCGTTTCTCGCGCCCACTACCTCGCTCCCTCGTATCTCGCTATCTCGCTCCCTCGTTTCCCGTGCCCACGCTTCCACTAATCCCATTCGCCCGCTTACGGCGCATGAAGTGGATATGCGGTTGTGGCAATCGAAATGAATTGTATCGTGCGCGCGTTAATTACGCTCGCCGACCGAAGCGGCGTTACCGTATCTCCGGGCGAGACAAATCTGCTCACCCAGATTCGCGCGCTGCTCAAGTGGTGTGGCAGTCTTGAATAGACCGCCCATTATGGACAACCAAAGTTACCAATACCAATGTGCATGGATTGAGACCGTTGGGTATTTTGCCCAACTACGGAGACCGGTCCCACCTGTCACCAGGCTTTAGAGGTGGCGTCACACCTGACCGCTTCCCTTGGGAAGGGAAATTGCTCTGGCATAACGCCGGGGGCTACTGTCGGTGATATGGAACCGGGAGTATCATGACCAGAGGCTTGAGGCAGACACAATCGCCCACGTGGCCTGGCACCTTCGGGGACGTCGGGCCCGAGGGTGAGGTGTCCGCCCTCCTCCTGATTTCCCCCGAGGGGGGGGGGGGGGTCGGGCTGCGCTTGCCCCGGCCCCGAGGGCCGAGGCACCCCGACCCCTTAAGGAAGTCTGCGCCACATATATGGGATAAGTGAGCACAGCTGTGCTCACCTAACAGCATTTATTGCAGTCTGGTCAAGCGTGTCACGCTGCATGCAACGCTGTACAGCGCGTTCCTTTATCCGGTCTGTGACCAGTCACAGACCGGTCAGATCACGGGTTAGGTGGCGATTGGCGGTCTGACGCACGCCTTGCCCCATCCCGTCAAGACGAAAGCCTCTAGGCACTCGTCTCAAGCCGGAGCTAGCGTGTTATCTCTTAGAGATGGCACGATAGCCCTGGTCAGATTTATACCAGGCTTCATCCTAACCATTACAGGCAAGGTGTTACACGAAGAAGGGCAAACATGCACGTTGTTAAGCTGACGCGTGGTGAACAAGAATGACCGGTCTGGCACTGGTCGCGTCATCGACAGACAGCCACGGTCCCGCGTCATCTCTGTCTTCGGGGGAGGTGGGGGTAGGTGTGGGCTGTCCCATCAGAAGGGCTCCCGGATGGAAACCGTACCGATCTCCGCCCATTAAAGAGAAAAAGAACAGTCCAGTTTGGAGAGAGAAAGGTGCATGTGGTATCCCCTTGAGATATAAAAGGAGGACCTTGCCCATTTAGAGGGGAGGACTTTTTCCTTTTTGGAAGGCTGAGGGGAAAGGAAGTTAATCCTTTGTAATTTGTCCATACACAAATCCACAAAAACACAGGAGTAGGGTATTACGCTTCGCAGCGGCCCGAACCTGTATACATCGCCGTGTCTCGTGTGTCTTGCGGGCGGGTGATCTTTCCACATACAGAGAGAGAGAGAGAGCTTGGGATTGCACCCTAAGCCCCTGGTCGAACCGGCAAAGGGGGGCTTGCGCAGTCTCCCGGTGAGGGGCAACGAGCTCCGTCACCTTCATTGTGATCAACGACGCCACGGCCGCCACTGATGTTAATAAAGATGACATAGGCCAGAGACTCCCAAGCTCACCTGTCAACCACTATAGCCCCACAACCATGGAGCTTGATAGCCCGCTTCATCTCGATCTAAATCATTTTTCATGTAGAGTAGTCATTAATAGAGGCATCTCTAAAAGTTGCAAACATGATTTCCAGCTATCTAAGAATGTACAATGGTCGTTATTAGGGACACTTAGTTTTTATAATAGAATATTTGCTAATCATGAAAAGGAGAGAAACCATTGTTATAATGGTTAACAACAAGTCTACACTGACTCTTAGCATTTATAAGATGAAAACTTTTTTTTTAAGATAATAGAATATATTTTCTGCCTTTACTTAACAAGGTATAGCTAATTATAACATCAATTCGCCGAGAAACGTTCACACACACCAAGGAGACATGGTTGCATAAGGTAAAAAGACTCAGCATTTGTAAAACGAAAACATGGGTAAAAAACAAAAACGAAGAAAAATATGCACACTGATTCATAAACCGTCACATCGGCATGGGCAGAACGCGACGCAGAATCGCGCCAAAATTCCTCTGCCTTTCCCGCGCGCAGATACCGACCTACTAGGCTACTACTACACCAAAGGCAGCAAGCTAGCCAGCAACACTAGCAGCAGCAGTGGCAGGCAGCAGCAGCCATCGACTTCGAGTTGCTACGGACAAACGAGCGAGCCAGACATCACCTCGGCACCAAACAATAATGCACCCCAATGGATTAGCAACGGATACGATTCGACGACGCGCAATAATGGCGGCAGCGACGTCCCGCCGTGTCGTCAGGTCGCCGCCGGCGACCAGACGATGTCCTTGAGCGCCGGCCGGAGCTCCTCGCTGAAGAACGGCCGGTACTCCATGGCGTCGCCGCCATCCTTCTTGACGTCCACCATGAGCAACGACGGCGCCACGCGTGCGCCGCCCATCGCGAGCGCCTCCAGCCGCGCGACCACGCCGCTCGCCGCCTCCCGCGTCGCGAACCGCGTGCCGCCCGCGCGCGCCGTGGCCCGCCCCGGCGACGCGGCGGGGTCGTGCTCGAACAGCGGCGACAGGTCGAAGCCCTCGGACAGGGAGATCAGGTGGAAGGCGTTCAGCACCTCGGGCGGCTCGTCCTTGTCGTCGCCGGCATTGCCACGCGTGTCCACCGGCGCCGCCGCGGGGTCGGCGATGATGGGGCGCGGGACGGGCGCCGTCTTCCGGAACCACGGCGTCTCGAGGAGGCCGGCGACGGTGATGCGGGTGCCCGGGTTGGGGTCGAGCAGCGACTTGATGAGCTTCCGGGCGTCCGTCGTCACCCACGGCGGGCAGCAGAAGTCACCCCGCCGCATCTTGCGGTACATGCACACGAGGTTGTCGTCCTGGAACGGCAGCGCGCCGGCGAGCAGCACGTAGAGGATGACGCCGCAGGACCAGAGGTCGGCCTTGGCGCCGTCGTAGCCGTTGCCGGCGAGCACCTCGGGGGCGACGTACGCCGGCGTGCCGCAGGCGGTGTGGAGGAGGCCGTCGGGGCGCGCGTGGCAGGCGAGCGCGCTGAGCCCGAAGTCGGCGACCTTGAGGTTCCCGGCCTCGTCGAGCAGCAGGTTCTCGGGCTTCAGGTCGCGGTGGTACACCCCGCGGCCGTGGCAGAAGTCGACGGCGGAGACGAGCTGGCGGAAGTACCTCCGCGCGACGCCCTCCCCGACGCGGCCGTGGCGGGCGATCCGGTCGAACAGCTCGCCGCCCCGGACGAGCTCGAGCGCCAGGTACACCTTGGTGCGCGTGGCCATCACCTCGTGGAGCTCCACGACGCTCGGGTGGGACACCATCTTCATCACGGCGATCTCCCGCTTGATCTGCTCCGCCATCCCGGCGCGCTCCACCTTGTCCTTGGACACCACCTTCATCGCCACGGCGCGCCCCGTGCGCACGTCCCGCGCCGCGTGCACACGACCGAAGTTGCCGTGGCCCAGCACCCGCCCCATCTCGTACCTCCCCTCCAGCACCCCCTTCCCCTCCATTGCCTGCCTTGCCGCCCTCGATCTGCTCTACTACCCGTCCTCGACGTGCTTGCGGTGGCAGTTGCGGCCGCCGCGGAGGCTGCGGTTGCCGGCGAGGTCGTCAGTGCGCCCGCGCCGCCGCATTGCTCCGCATTCCCCAATGGCGGCAGCAGCAGCGGCGGGCAACAAGTAGCGAGCACCTCACGCGGAGGAGCAGCCGGGGGAGCGCGAGCGGCAGCAGCGGCGGGCACGCGAAGAAAACGAGGGGGACGACGCGCGGTCACGCGGGGTATTATCGTGACGGTTAGGGGATCAGGGAGGCGCATCCAGCCGTCGATCTGTAATCGGATGGTAAAGAGATTTCGTGTGTCCTGGCATCCTGGGGCCCGCGAGGCTGTGGGCTATAGTTGGCCATGTGGGCCGCCCGGCACGGCACGGCCCAGGCCCGGCCGTGCCTGGGCCGAGGCTTGTCGGGCCGGCACGGCCCGACCGACGCACCGGGCCGTGCCGTGCCAGCCCACGTGCCGCACTCACGGCCCAGGCACGGCCCAACACGCCTCGGGCCGTGCTGGGCCGGCCCAAAGGCACGATGGGCCGTCATGCTTTTCCTCAGAATAAGTCTAAATTTCCGCCCTCCTATTGGGCTGTGACATATGTACAGCTACAAAAAGTCTATTTTACCTCCCTCTTCTTTGGGCTGGGGTATATAAATAGCTAAAATAAGTCTATTTAAGGTCCCTATTCTTTAGACAGTTACATTTATATGTCTATTTTTAGTCCCTATACTTTATGTACCGGGCCTGGCCTGCCGGCCCATCGTACCGGGCCGGCCCGACCGTGCCGGGCCAGCCCAGCGTGCCGGTGGGGAGGCCCAGGCACGGCCCGACGGTCGGGCCGGGCCAGCACGGGCCCGACCCAAGTCGGGCCGTGCCGTGCTTGGGCCGGGCCAAAAAGGCGTGCCGTGGGCCGGGCCTTCGGGCCTCGGGCCTTATGGCCAACTATACTGTGGGCTGGTGCCTGGTGGGTGGTGTTGGTGTGGCGGTGTTGGATCATCCCAATTTGGATGGGATGACGACGAGTGGGGCCCAGTTGTCAGTGGGGGCGTTGCCCACACGTCAGGAAAAGCCAGTGGTCGCAGGGCAGTAGGTGGGGGCCCGCCGGAATAATTGGTGGGCCGGCCTGGTCCATTATTATTGGATCAAATCCAAGCCGTTCTTTTTCTTTGCTCGAGTTCTGGTGCATGAGGCCATTCACGATGTTCCCATGTGGCATTCAGCCTCACCCTAGAAACCGAATATTCGTCCCCACATCGGCAATCCGCGCGGCTTGCCCAAGACCGCGGAGCCAACTGTGGCTCCCTGTTCCTCCTTTGTTTCGTAGGTAGGGCCCATACTCATGGGCCGCGTTGTCCTACCGCCCCAACCCCACCTCGCTTCCACCGCCCAACACCGTCGGGGAGAGGAGAGCATCGCCGGAGAGACGGAGAGGGCATGGTCCCGTGCAAGGGGGCGGCGGTCGTCGCCGGCGAGGCAACCACCTGAGCTCGCTGGAGAGAAGGGAGGAAGGAAAGATGGACCACTACCATCGTCGTCGTCGCGCCGACCGAGAGTGGATCTGGCGAGCTCGGCGGCGTCGCCACCGTCGTCCGCCGGGGAGAGGAGAGGGTGAGGCCCGTGCCGAGCGCCGCCAGAGGGGACTGGGAGGGGAGAAAGCAGAGGGAGGTGGCCGGAGCAGGGATGGAGGGGGTGGTTGTGGTGGACGGCGGTCCAAGGGCTCCTAGACCGCCGCCCGGTGCCGTGTAGCTCGGGCCGCCCCGCCGGCCGCCACCGCCGCTCAACACCGCAGTTGGGTGGCGCGGCACCACCGCCGCGCCGGAGGAGGAAGGGGAGGCGCGCGGGTGGAGATGGAGAACCGCTCGAACAGTCTCGCCGCCGGCCGCGCTGCCCCTCGATCCGCGGCGGCCGGAAGAGGAGGAGGAGGGGAGGCGCTCAAGCCGTCCCGCTGACCAGCGCCGACGTCGCCGATCAGGCCATTCGTGCCGCCGCCCGTCTGCCGCGCTGCTCCACGCCGCAGCTAGGTGGCTCGGCATCGCCGCCACGCTGGAGGAGGAAGGGGAGGCACGGCGGGAGGAGAAAGGGGCGAGGCGTGTGGGTGGAGATGGAGAAGCGCGCAGGGATGAGGATCGGACTGAGGATAAGGGAGAGAGAAACGATTTTTTTTATTTGTGTGGCTACTCTTTGAGGCTACATAGCACTGTGAAATTTGTGGCAAGTATTATTCTTCTGGTGTCTTCGACCTATGTGGCAGCCACAGGCTGAGCAAAATGGGTGGCGCACTGCTAATGTCCTTATATGGAGATGACTAGGATTCGCCTCCCGCCTCGATTTGCAGGGAGGGGACACCGGTGGGGAGAGAGCTGACGTCGCGAGATCCGCCCCCGAGCTCGTTGCCCTACACGCGCCACCCCATTCTGCGACGAGGACGGAAGCTCGCCGACCACGCCTCGCCGCAGGATCCCGCCATCGAGGAGACAAGCGGCGCCGCCGATGGGGAAAATAGAGCGGCAGCCATAGTAGGAGGGGAGGCGCAACGGCTGGAGGAGGAGGAGGAGAGGCGGCGTCAGCCGGAGGAGGGGGAAGGCGCGGCGGCCGGAGTAGGAGAAGGGGAGGCGCGACGGCTGGAGGAGGACGGGACGTGTGCGTCCGGCGAAGAAGGGGGGAGATGCACGGTTTCTCTCGAGGGAGAGAATAAGGGAGAGAGAAGAGAGGGGGAGGGGTGGTTTATATTTTTTTTTCCAGATTTTAGGTGTTCGGCGTAAATTTTGGACCTCTATTCAAATAGGAAAAAAATATTAGTACTGGACAAAATGTGTGAGGGACTGAAATATAAAATTAAAGTTACTCCTAAAGCTGCACTGTGAAGAACCTAGATTTTAGACTTATAGCTTTGGTCTACATGACACTCCGAGGCTCCTTAAAGTAGTGTGACACACTGTTAATACCCTCAGTGCGGTACGCTTGATGATGCACCTGCAAGTTTAAACCAATATTAGCATATTATAGTGTTAAGTAAGATCTCAAATAAAGTCAGAGAACTATCCTAACAACAAGTTATAGTTACAAACTGGCTTGATTCTTATCTCGTGTTGAAACATGTGGTTGATGTCCCATTCGTCGACCTTGCGTTTCATCCATATATACATTGGATTCTGTTGTGCCTCCGTCGACCCCGTTGTATTAACCTCGGGACCGCCTATACATCACTCGGGTGATTTTTGAGAAAAAATCACCCAGATTTTTTCTTCCCTTGGATTTGCGTCCAACATACTAGAAAATAAAATAACTAATACAAATTTACTTACACGACATTTTTATCAAAATTACAGTGCACTTACATGTCATATCAACTAAATTTACATATGTAATTTTAGTTATATAGGACTGTAATTTTATATTTGAAATAAAATAACTAATGCAAATTTACTTACACAATATTTTAATAAAAAATATAGTGCACTTACATGTCATATCAACTATATTTACATATGTAATTTTAGTTATATAGGGCTGTAATTTTATATTTTAAAGAAAATAATAAGTACATATTTACTTACACAATATTTTTATTAAAATTACAGTGCACTTACATGTTAAATCAACTGAATTTACAAATGTAAATTTAGTTAAATAGGATTGTAATTAATATCAACTGAATTTACGTATACAATTTTAGTTAAATAGGACTGTAATTTTATATTTTATTCTAGTTATATAGGATATTTACACGTAGCTAGGATGTAAATTTCTTGTGAATCGTGATCAGCGGCAAACGTGGGACCTACGAGGTCTCATCTCCACCTCACGACAACATCGACGCAGAATCGTGTACTGATCTCGGCGCATAGTTGTAGGGGCAAAAATCTGTCAAATATCAACGAAAAAATCACCCGTGTGATGTTTAGCAAAATCGATTAACCTCTTGTCAGGCCCAATGACTGCCCAATATATGGTGGCCACTCATTTTGATTTCCATACGGATAAAATTGACCGCCCAAGTGCTTGCCAGTGTTTTGCCCATGCATGCAAACCTCTCTAGCTGGTGTTGGTGCTTGCATTCACTCACTCTCATACGTGCACCAATGATTATAGATGGCCAAATAAGTTTCCCGGCTTGACACGACCACGACTAGGCCTAGGCCATGGTCAGTCGGGCTAGCACAACCTGACCTACACGCCGGGCTAGGGCGTGCCTATCCACGTTCCAGGCACGACCCCATAAGACTCGGGCCGTGCCGTGCCGGCCCGAAGGCACGATAGCACATCGTGTTTCTTCAAAGAATAAGTCTATTTCCCCTTATCTCTTTGGGTTGTGTCTTATATGGTTGGAATAAATATATTTTGTATCCCTCTTCTCTTTGGGTCGTGTCTTATATGGCTAAATAAGTCTATTTTGGATCCCTTAACTTTTTTTTGACCATGCCATGTCGGGCCGACCCACTATGCCAAGGCATCGGTCCAGGCACATCCCAACTATCGGGTCGGGCTGGTACGGGCCGACAACAGTTGTGTCGTGCCATTCTTGGGCCGGGCCAAATAGTTGTGCCGTGGGCCGGGCCATTGGGCCTTGGGCCATATGGCCATCTTCAGCACCAACGGTCAAACAAGCCCAGCTCGACATGCATGTGGTAGACCAACCGGTAGATATATGTGACTATTTAAGTGGTATACGGAGTACAATTTAAATTATTCGTGTTAGCTAGGAGTTAGGGATTTGCTTTCTATCTCAATGAAGTGACAAATATGCATGCTTTTGCATGCGCTTGGTTAGATCACGAGGAATTAAACCATTTAAATCAGTTCAAGTTGGTCCCTTAATTGTGTAGGGGAGTGAATTATAGTGTTGAATGTGTCAGCGCCTTTTCAACTAATACGGGCTCACCTAAAGATTTTTGGTGTTAACAAAGTCACCAATCACCTGATCTAGAAAAGTTCCTAACCAAGATGGGTCTAGAAAAGATTAAAATCAGCTAGCAGAGCCAATTTAGAGACTGAATCAGTCTCTAGGCCGATTTAGATTGATTTAGAGGTAAACAACCATCTCGTAGACGAATAAGAAGGTTTACGGGATAAGCCTACAAAATATATCATACTCTCAGAGCGGAAGACATTGTCTAATTTGAAAGGCAAATCACTTACTCCCTCCGTCCCACTGGAAACGAATCTGAAACTGAATGTGACATATCGTAATACATTGAATCTGAAAAAGAAATATTGTCTTTGTGAGACATAGGGAGTACTTTACAAGGCCTTTCTCTGTCCAGCTAGGTGTAAATTAAATAACAATGTTTGCAGTGTCTTAAGTCAAATT